TAGCGCTTCGAACGGCGCGAATTAGTCTTCGCGCTTATGTCTCCGTGGATAAGGGCTTCGCGGATTTGTGGTGGAACCCCACTACAACCCATAATAAATTCCCCAGGGGAATTTATTTTTGAGTAGATGTACATTAAACAGTTAAGTGAAAGAAATATGGCAGAGTTAACAAACACTGGAATTAATTGTCTGCCACAGTCCAGTTTCCTTTCTAGCTAGACAGACACCTGGTTGAGTTTCAAATTGTTGGGAAAAAAATGTTTGTATGAACTGAAAAGCGCTGGTTAATAGTTTTCTTTTGGGAAATCACGTCTACAACTGTGGTTTTGAGTTCTCAGATAAACTTACATTTTCTCCCCTGTGGCTCTCTATATCTGGAATCCCATTCAGAATATATATATTTGGTACCCTAACACCTCTTTCCAATCTCAGTTTTCTATGAATAGAATTGAATTATTCGGTACATTATACTGTATTTTTAACTTTCATTTCCCCCCGAGCTTCCCATTTCACTGCATCCCTGTTGACATGGGAAATATAGCATTCAATAGTTTTCCACAAATAAATACTTTCTCCATAAAATAAGATTCAAACCAAGTTGCTAAGTTATCCAGTGTTTTTCAGCATTTTATTAAAATTACATTTTCTCACAACTGCATAGATGGACATTCGGCCAAAAGGGGTAAAATTGATGAAATTTTGAGAAACCAGGAGTGCATCTGTTAATCATTGGCAGAGGGGTTTCTTAAACCACCTTCATACTACCTATTATTTCTTCTGGTTTTGATCCCATAGCTAATTTTTTTTCCCAAAAATAAAAATTTGCCTAGCTCAGGAAAGGCATACAACGATTTGCTTGTATATATGTGCTTATCCATTCCAACCAATCTTTACCTTACAAATAGAACTGCATTGCATTGTGTTCTAAATATGCAAGAAAGTAATAATAAACAAAAAAAAACAGTTTCATTTCTAAAAGAAATTGGGTTATATTTTGTTGATGAAGACCACATATAGGATGAAAGGCTTTATGCTTCGATGAAATGCATTTCATAATTCCAGACGATATAAATGAATATATAAATAAAAAAATAATATGTAAGGTTGCTAAATGAAATAAATGATGGAACAGGCTTAGTTCTTCCATTTTTTAAAATTTGTATGACCATTATGTTGTGCGAAGTACCCGTGGTTTCGCCCATGAGGCCAATGTTGAGAAAAGACACGGACACGAGCTTTCTCGGGATGGGACGACCCAGAATGGAGTCTGGTAGTCCCTTTTATTGAGATAGGACAAAGGCAGGAGGAGCAATCAGCATGTGATTAAAGACAGCCTGTAAAACTACAATTGCTAATCTACTGCTCCGGGAAGTTCTGATTTTTGAATTATGGATGCCTTCTTCAAATCCATATTT